ATGCCATATCATTCTTGGGATTGTATTCGAACGGCACATCGCCTGCCGTTTGGCAAGCTCACCTGGCAGTGTCCGAGTTGGGGGTTAATAGTTTGCAAATACAACTGTACAAATACCCTTTTTTAACACTCAGATATTTTTTAATGTTGATATTTGAATATGTACACACGTTACCTTCGTAACTTTTTATGTAAACATGTATAAAGTGTACACACACACAATTGAAAATGTTTTGTATAAAATATATTGAAGACTTTTTCCTTTGTACCGCCTTAGCTCTCACTCATTGAACCCCTCGTTAAAATGTTGCTTTGTGATGTTTCTTGGTTCCGAGTTGCAATGGTGGATTTTTTTAACGTAGGAATGTGGCTCTAAATGTCATGACGCAAGCATCATTAAAGGCTCCACTTTTTTGGTGAAACAAACAGCTGTCCCGTGTCATCCCACCCACTGCCCTTTATAATATCGTTCTGCTGCTCATCGCTGGACTGTGAAATGCTGACGGCTTGGGCAGGGGCTTCATCCATGACTGGACATGTAAAATGAGCTTTAAAGCTCATCGGATTCCTCCAGAATAATTATTTTTATTGATCATGGCTGATGATTACATCGCTTTACCTTCCTTGGCAAGGCTTTATGGACACCACTTGTGCGCCTACCGGTCATGTCTGTTGCCTGTATGTTAAGTGCACGATGGTAAGCCAATTGAGCCAACTATGCCTTGGATGGTCGATGGTGACATCACTCGCAGGACTATTCTTCCTGCCACAGTCACGAGTGCATGAAACCAGTAGTTCCTCGCTTACATGCAGTCTTGCTTGTATCATGTACAAGGGGTGGTTGTCATGTAAAACTTGCCATTTGAAACTGATTTCACGAGTAATTAGTTTATCCAGGAAGTCTTGCAAAGGCTCATTGTCAGGTGGATCCTTATTGGACATTTGGCCAAATACAGGCTGTGTACAACTTGGGAGAACAATTTTAAAATTACAGATGGTACTTCAGAAACCGACTTGTACTGCTTCTAACATGTACCTTGTCACCCTAAAACATCGTGGCAGGTCTCTTGTACACGGTTGGCTATACTGTGCGAAAGAAGTTAAATATGCATGAGTTGGAATTCAACGAACTCCATTTCCATTGGCGACCACAGCCAGGACATCAAACCACCCTGATACAAAAGCACGTTTTTAAAAAAAATTACAAATCAATATTGGGCTTTATGTGACTTGTGATATTAACACTCAGACATTGTTTACTACACACGGCATGTTTTACAAGTCTTAACACGCTTTGACGGCCCTTTTCACGGACCGAATTGCCAGTTCGAGAGTACATCGCAGAGGGGAGCTGTTGCAAAGCACTCAACTTGTACTTGGAGTGAACCTTTATATATCGCTTGGGACTCCACTTGCCACATCGTCGCTCCGGGTTCAATAACTTGGAGCAGCACTTTGGTAGGAGGCCAATATTGATTGCCCTATGGAGAGCATTGCCCCTGCCAGAATAATGTAAAATTTCCAGCACAGGCTGAGGAACGTCAATGGATGTGCACCACCCAGTGCGTGATGCATCAAACTTGGGATTTTGCAGTATTTTAATTGGCCTCACACTGATGCCTTGACAGAATCGTGGTGTTGGGTGTATCATCAAAACATGCGATGGTTGCCGTTTATTGTTCAAATCGGAAGCCGTGCAGACTCGAACACTTGATGTTACGAGCCGAGCAGCTTACAACAGAAACGCACGCACCTCCGATTAGCACGTACGGTGTGAACAGAAGTTAAATATACATTTAGATACTTTTCACCAAAGTGGTGCATTTATGCCATTCTCAAGAGACTGAGTTCAGACAGCTGAGAAATAATAACTGCTGCATGAATACAAATGTTAAAGAAAAAAGTGTTTGCAGTCATACAAAAACACTAAAGCTTTTTCAATGCCACTTAAAAATGTGACAGTGGTGAGGTTTTTTACACTATATACCCGTGATGAGTAACCGAGACTAGTTAGTGAGCCACCATGAACCACCCACCTTCAGCATGGTGGACCACAAGCTTGACATCGTGCTTTTGCACAAATCATGACCCCACGCATCACCCTCAACACACTTCGACCAAACCACCACGGGTGGATCCACGGGAGACAGGTTTCCCACCATTGCTACAGTATTTGATCCCCTGCTGATTTTGTACTTTTGCCCAATGACAAAGAAATGATCAGTCAATAATTTTAATGGTAGGTTTATTTGAACAGTGAGACAGAATAACAACAAAAAAATCCAGAAAAACGCATGTCAAAAATGTTATAAATTGATTTGCATTTTAATTAGGGAAATAAGTATTTGACCCCCTCTCAATCAGAAAGATGTCTGGCTCCCAGGTGTCTTTTATACAGGTAACGAGCTGAGATTAGGAGCACACTCTTAAAGGGAGTGCTCCTAATCTCAGCTTGTTACCTGTATAAAAGACACCTGTCCACAGAAGCAATCAGATTCCAAACTCTCCACCATGGCCAAGACCAAAGAGCTCTCCAAGGATGTCAGGGACAAGATTGAAGACCGACACAAGGCTGGAATGGGCTACAAGACCATTGCCAAGCAGCTTGGTGAGAAGGTGACAACAGTTGGTGCGATTATTCGCAAAAGGAAGAAACAAAAGATCTGTCAATCTCCCTCGGCCTGGGGCTCCATGCAAGATCACACCTCGTGGAGTTGCAAAGATCATGAAAACGGTGAGGAATCAGCCCAGAACTACACAGGAGGATCTTGTCAATGATCTCAAGGCAGCTGGGACCATAGTCACCAAGAAAACAATTGGTAACACTATGCCGTGAAGGACTGAAATCCTGCAGCGCCCGCAAGGTCCCCCCTGCTCAAGAAAGCACATATACATGCCCGTCTGAAGTTTGCCAATGAACATCTGAATGATTCAGAGGACAACTGGGTGAAAGTGTTGTGGTCAGATGAGACAAAATGGAGCTCTTTGGCATGAACTCAACTCGCCGTGTTTGGAGGAGGAATGCTGCCTATGACCCCAAGAACACCATCCCCATCGTCAAACATGGAGGTGGAAACATGCTTTAGGTGTGTGTTTTCTGCTAAAGGGACAGGACAACTTCACCGCATCAAAGGGACAATGGACGGGGCCATGTACCGTCAAATCTTGGGTGAGAACCTCCTTCTCTCAGCCAAGGCATTGAAAATGGGTCGTGGATGGGTATTCCAGCATGACAATGACCCAAAACACACGGCCAAGGCAACAAAGGAGTGGCTCAAGAAGAAGCACATTAAGGTCCTGGAGTGGCCTAGCCAGTCTCCAAACCTTAATCCCATAGAAAATCTGTGGAGGGAGCTGAAGGTTCGAGTTGCCAAACGTCAGCCTCGAAACCTTAATTACTTGGAGAAGTACTGCAAAGTGTAGTGGGACAAAATCCCTCCTGAGATGTGTGCAAACCTGGTGGCCAACTACAAGAAACGTCTGACCTCTGTGATTGCCAACAAGGGTTGTGCCACCAAGTACTAAGTAATGTTTTGCAGAGGGGTCAAATACTTATTTCCCTCATTAAAATGCAAATCAATTTATAACATTTTTGACATGCGTTTTTCTGGATTTTTTTGGTTATTCTGTCTCTCACTGTTCAAATAAACGTACCGTTAAAATTATAGACTGATCATTTCTTTGTCAGTGGGCAAACATACAAAATCAGCAAGGGATCAAATACTTTTTTCCCTCTGTATATATGGTGTTGATATACCATTTTAGGGTTAGTTTAGTTTACATGACAGCTTAAACACCACACAATGGGATATTTGATTTAAACCATCGTCCAATTACAGTTGCTGTTGCATTCGGTTGTAGTTTTATGTCTGTCTGCTGCCAAGATAAAGTTTCTTATTACTGGCTCAAGGCTGCAGTTTGATGCTGCTCCAAGTCACATTTCAGCAGACTCTTGTGACTCGGGAGAGATGTTGGTCTCTCCTTGCCCATGTCCGCGTCGGAAAATTCCACCGTTATTTTAAACAGATGCAAGAGAAAAATAATACGGATGCCGTACACGTCACATACTTTTATTTCGGCAGAAAAGTTTCACGGCAGGTTTCTTCAATTCCACTGCATTGTGGGTGACAAAGGTGGTTGTGATGGTTTGTGATTCGTTCAATCTGGCGATCCTTTGCAACAAACGACGGAGAGAAAAACGTTAAATTTCGATTTAAAGCTTTCGTGACTGCAATGATTCATCTTCTTTGGTTCTTTCGGTAAAGTCACGTAGAATGAGAATAAAATAATAAATTGATAAAATAAAATAACACAATGGTCTCCAGCGCTGTCCTACCAGACAGTCTCGCCCCTTCACCTGATGAAGGCCGCTTGTGTTGTGGCCGAAACGTCGTGAGAATATTATTGTGTTATTTTATTTTATCAATTTATTATTTTATTCTCATTCTACGTGACTTTACCGAAAGAACCAAAGAAGAGAAAAACGTTAATCGATTTCCTGCTGAGTGTTATTTCCAGACGCCTATTTTGGATCAATTCGGCCTCCATGTGGTGTTGGTAAAATGACGACCACTGTGGCAAGGGGTAGGGATGGACTACAACACACCAGGGAAGGCACCAACAAAGATGACCGCTATCCATTTACTTGTGTGGGAAGCAGATGCTTGAGCATATTTTATTACAAATCCTGTGACTTAGTCTTTTCCGACCCGACAAAAGTAATGGTTTATTTAAACAAGTCTTGGGTGTCTTGCACAAAAGCAGACTTCTGTCGGTTGAGACTGTTTATCACGTCAGAATCTGGATGTAACCATATACAACCACAGCTCTGTAATGTAAGCATACAAGCTTACATTACACAGGAAGAGGGAAGGCAAAGGCATTTGAAACATACACACTAATGATATATTAACAGCCTTACTTCCAGGGGGCGTACCTATACCCAACTTCTATTATACTCGATAGACTAAATATAACACATGTGGGTGTTGTGCTACTTGCTTTGTTAACGCCGCAGATTTGTTCTGAACCCTGAGCCAAACCCGTCCCATCTCTCTAACGATCCTAAAAGTACAAGGTTTCCGACGACTTTATAATGTACTCCATCTTGTTTGGAAGGCGACACTGAAATTCTGAGGAAGGATTTTATTTGCAGCATGTGGTATTTCAAGCCCTCTTGTCAAGTACGCAGATGTCATGTCGGACAAAAACCCCTTCAACAGTTTCGTGCTCATCTCACCGCACAAAGTGTCCGTGAAGGATACAAAAAAATAATAATACCCCAACCCATTTGTTACGTTGATTCAGCAATCAAACATCCGATCGTGGGAAATGAAAACTCCAGCTGTAGTAGTCAAATGAGCTCAAGAGTCCCACTTGCTCATATGTCACCGCGAAGCCCGAGGTGCCACGGGGTTTCGTCGTGCCCTCATGCTTCGGCCGCCACCATGTCCCGCGCCACCTGGAACGCAGCAATGAGGGAGCTCAGCTGGATCTTCTCGTTGGTGCCCGAGGCCAGGCGGTACCTGCAACAAAAATAAATGATGCAATTTTGAACAAAGAAGAAAAATCGTGCATGCGCACGGATTCTGCGATGCCTTCCAGCCGTGCAATTGTCCTCAAGTCATGAGCAGTACTGAAGCTCATGGAGAGCTGTTAGGGAAAAATGCTTTTGTGTATTTACAGAGTTCCTTTAGCTTGTCAGGGCAAAATGCTTTTGTGTATTTACAGAGTTCCTTTAGCTTTGGAGTGTGTGCACGTTTTGGGCAACCCTTTGAGACAATGTTGAAACTAGTCCAAGGTTTGCATGTGTTGAAGCAATGCTGCTGAAATTATGCACTCTCAGCCTTGTAGCTTAAGCGATGTGCAAAAACGTGTTTGAATGTGGAGGGACAGGTATTTAAACAAGACATTTCCACTTATTTATTTTGTTTCTAATATTCTCCAGAGCAACTCTAATAATTGTTTTGAGATTAGATCAATATCGCCAGTGTTCTCAGGCAAGTCTCTAAAAACTACACAACTTTACACTCAAGATTCACTGACATTGGTTCATCTTTACTAGAGTTAGTGCCCCCTTCTCCCTACTATAGATAGACAGAGCTAATGCATAAACTTTCAAGCTTAGTTGTAAAGCGTTCATAGAAAAGCGCATGGGTTTCCATGGAAATCTCAAAGCTGCTGAGTGTGGGTTGGTGTGCATAAACGACAGTGAAGTAAACTCACTCGACTTCTGCCATCTTGGTGAGGAGATGAATCCTCACCGACATGGGGAAGTCAACTATGGAAAAAGAAAAAAATGGCATTCACATTAAACAAGCCAGACAAAGACACACCCCTATAACAAACCCATCCACAAAGGAAAGAAGCCCTCCCCTAGGGTTGGCATTCACACGTAACAGTCAAGCAGCAGGTTACTCCAGTTAAAGTGAGTCAGTAACAGCAGAAGGTAAGTGCTTTGCCAAACAAGATCAAGTTAATTGTGCATAATAATTAGCCTGGAGGCAGCTTGTACACAGCATAATGAAATAGGGTGCAATCCCTATTTGCAAATGTTAATTCAGTTGCAAACGAGTTGCATCACTGGACTGTAAAGAATTGAAGACAAAGCAGCACAGCTGAAACAATGGTTTACAAGTCAACATGTGAGGCCTCTAATTAAAACAGTGTGGTGGTGAGTCAGTGGCAGCCATTGAATTAACCTTCCTGGAATGCAGACATTCTCTCCAAATTAAACAAATGCTGTTGATTTCGCAAAGTGGTATTGTTTATCAAATTACAATGAGAAATGAAGTTCCCAACTGTTTGACTGAGTGGGGGCACTACGCAACTGCATCAACACTTGGATAGAAGCAATAGTTGTCCTGCTGAGGCAGACTACAGCACGGCATCATTGGTACACACCATGTGTGACGTTCGGAAGCTGAAGTCTAGAGTTACGAGATGGCCGGGTAGCTCAGGGGTCAATGCCGAGCTGACACTGCTGACATCCCGCCTGTGATGAATTAAACTGGATTTTCAAGTGTAGTGAGTTGATAGTCTTAGACCGGTCCCTTATGACCTTACACAAAAAGTATACATTTTGTTCTGCAGGCCAGGTAGCAAATGCTGCACCCCCGATAGTGTGGACCAATTGAAGGGATTTCAGAGGTAGCTCTGTGATATCCGCGTCAGTGGGCCATTCACTTTAAAATGAAGGGTTACGTTGCACTGCGAGACAATCTAACAGGTTATTCGTCTCTTTGCACGACGCCCATAGCACAATGAGATACATTTTTGTCAAGATAAGTCAAATTGGCTGTAGACCTCGGGGTGCAATGGTGAACCTCACCCTGCCAACTCCACAGAGCAGACTCCCTCTTGACATCAGTACAATGGCAAATTTACGTGAAAAATTACGAAGGGGGTACGTGAATATAGCGATGCTTAGTGCTGGTTTTCTGTTCCTGGGCTCCATTACTTTCATCAGAGGTGGAAGGGGCGTTATAGTACAACTTGTACTTCTAAGGTTGCAAGTTGAAATCCTGGTTAAGGGTCGATGGAGCCCTCCCATCTCTCTGAGGTCGTTTAAACCGAGTACTCTTAACACATTGGTGAGACATCACTAATGTTTGTCTTATGGATATACTTGGTCCTGTCATAGGAATATGGATTTTATAACACTGCCTCAGGGGTGTATCCTGGAAATGAGTGCCACCTGAATACAGCAGTTGTGTTTTGTTAGATCTACTTTGTGATCACGTCATGATATGAAGAATCAATTTGGATATCTTTTAGTGTTCTAGAAGAATCTATCGAAACAAATATTACCTCTGAGATCCAGTCACGTGATCTTTCTTCGACAGCATAAGTTGCAGCACTTAACCATTCACTCTGCCAGTGTTATAGAGTCAAACCGATATTTGAATTCTGTGATGCGATGTAGTTACATTCCTACAATGCAGAAGCACATTTAACGAGCTTCGTTTTTTCGTGCCGTCATTGGTGCGCTGATACCATCGAGTCACTACATTTCAGAACCCAGTTTAATTACGTGCGGCTGGACCTGAACTCCAACCCTGGATCTCCGTGGCACCAGATCACCCCTCTGAACTCTTGAGCCACACGACCACTACTTTCAGCTCATCATTTTGTGAATTCTGAACAGGACTCACCCCTGTGGACGAAGGTGTGCACCTCTGTCAGGATGTCCTGCAGCGCCAGACCCTTGAGAGTCTTCAATTCCATGATCTCTGCAAGAGGTGCTAAGGAATTGGCAGTAACAAAAGACAAGGCAAGCCCAGCATGTGTCCGCTGGCAGTTTTTACCTTTAATCCCCGAGCAGGAATCAAAACGCACGACCAGGCGAGATGGAGACTTCTACCTGAATCGGTCGTGGCTGCATGGCAATTTCAATCCCAGATGCCATCTTTAAATAAAAAAATACATTAATCTTATAAGGAGTCATGTGGAGTGGCAGGGTGTGGAGGTGGTGATCCGTGTGCTTCTCTCCCCCTGTTCTGCATGGGTTCCTCCGGATTCTCTGGTTTCCTCCAATTGCTAAAAATATATACAATGTAACTGGCATTGGCCAAACATTCCAATACTTAAATATTACCTGCAAATTACTCAGTTGAGTAATTACTCAATTTATATTTACACAATCTAAACCAACAAACCTTCATGGATACCAATGGTCGCGAAAGCCTATGTGTTAAATTACTCAATTGAGATTACACAGCAGCAACATTGCCCCTTCCTGCGATAACTTGGGAGGCCCCTTCTGAAATATCGTCTGGAGACTAAGTGAGACTTGTATGGGGAAACAAGTGTAATTATAATAATAAGCAATTTTCTTTCTTTGAATTGAAATTAGTTAATCAGCACTGGGCACACATTGTTATCTCCATGAGGTTGCAATGACAATAATGAAGCAGTAATTGAAAAGGATGCTGCCGTGGTTTAATGGTTTGCATGCTGGATTTGCAATCCAGGGCTCACTGGCTTGATCTGCCTGTACCATGACAGTTAAGACAATGTGGCAAATTTACTAAATCCCCCCCCTCCTCCGGCCTCTCCACCCAGTTTTTTTTCAGTTTCATTTATTTGGTATAGCCCTGTGAGCCATTCAGCTCTTGAATCGGGTGCAACCGCAACAAACAAAAAACTAAATAATGAACAAGAAAACATCTTAAAGTGACTAATGCTCAAACAGAAAAATCCAGGAAAAAAACAGCTAAATCTTCCAGAAAAAGCACCGTAAACCAACGCTGTGTGCAAAAATCCCAGTGGGATGCAAGTCAAACAACAACAACCACAAGACAACTTAGATTAAAGCCATCAGTCTAACTCTGTACTACAACAAACATGGCCAAACCAAAAAACGTTTTCGAAATCACCAAAATAAAGCCATAAAAGCAATGTAACAGTGATCACCCAACAGTATAACTGTGAACACCACACGAAGTGTATCATCAGGTCACAAGTGGTGGGGTAGCCAGAGTGGAAGACAAGGCCAAAATATCCATAAGGGATCTCTAGAGCCACACCTTTAGTAACTAAAAATCAAAAGGACTGTATTTACTATATAAACTACTTTTTCTTTTTTACCAGGTAAGGCCCACTGAGCTATACAACCCTTTTTCAGAAGCGACCTGGCCACAAATGATAGCCCAACGAAGTGGCTTATCACGTTGACATTTATAGCAGCCAAATACTCTAAACGCATGTTTGTAAATGTGGATCGAAAAAATAGAGGCCCTGGAGAAAAGTCCACACAACCACGGAGAGAGAAACATGGAAATTCCAAATATACAGGCATCAGGGTTGGGATCGAATACATGACCTCAACTTCAGCCATAACTCAAATATGATCTCTAAAACCAACCGCTACCACCAACCTCAATCATAGCCCAATAATCAGATAGCAAGGGAAAGCTACTAACTGTACAATGGTCAGTCAATATGTTTCCAAAGAGGAAATCAATCAGTAGCATTTTTCTGTGACTATTTTTTTTAGTACAGTACTTGGAAATCAGATCAGCTTTACGGGACCCGCTGAGTAGTGTTGGTCCCATGTTGCTCGTGATGCGATGGCAACGAAGGGCTGAGGAGGCAAGATATTCTGGTGTGTCTTAGGTTTAAGGCCAGCACCAGTGCGGGTGTGAGAACAAGGGAAAAGTTTTACTTGTAACATTACCATACTGTGCGGTATTTTTATAAATAACCATTATAGCCGTAGGGAAGGAACAAGGCATTGCCAGTGCTAATTGATTGATGGGCAATTCAAATTTAGCACAATGTGATCATCTCACAATTGACCACATCAATTACAACCTGAGCTAGGAGAATTAAAAAAACCTGCCAACAGCAGCCCCAAGACAAAATTGTACTGATATTTCAAAATTGAAACCTCACTATTAGATACTGGAACACAGCGCAACAATGGATTATTCTGCACTGCTCCCTGCTAACAACATCGCCACACAACAGCCAACAACATCTGTTTTATGCACATGGTTGCCCATCCAAGCTCTATCCATGCTTAACCCAGTTTAGTGCATTATTGAGTTATTTAGTAATAGGCAAGTGTTAGCAAGCGTATCTGCCCTTACATAGTTGTAGGTTATACTGATTTAAACAAGCAGATTGTGCAGCTGAGCATGACTCACTCGATACATTTCTGTCATTGTGCTGCAGTCAGTGTCTCCATGCTCAACAAGCATTGGGTATTGCTCACCAGTATTGATCACTCGGACTGAGTGGTGCAGGTTCTACACGCCTTTGGCAGGGGATCATAGGCGTAACAAAGTTAGATAGAATAATACACAAAGATATTTGAGAGAGATCTTGAAGTTTGATTGAACACTAATAGCACTGATTGAGGGCTGCAGACTGATAAGGCATTGGTGAGCACGGTTGGCTATGTAGGATGAGAGAGTTCTACATACATACAAAAGAATGTCACAAAACAAGAATTCAGCAAAAGCAACACCAATGGAAGTGTAATCGAGAGAGGGGACAACAAAGAAAGATACAGACTGATACAAGTGAGGTGTAGCATAGAAAGGAATGTCATGGAAACATCGGCAACAGATGGGACATGATGACACCTTACATCTGGGACTTTTGCACTACCCCCAAAATGTTTCGTCATGGCACGGCACCAACCGAGTTATTTGAGATGACCACTAAGGTCAGACGTGTGTGAGTAGCTGCCTCACACACATGGGGAAGGGTAGCCGAGCTGGATACGTCTGTAGGCACCGCTGAAGTCGCTGTTGAGCATCCAGTCCACAATGTTGGCGATGTCCGACTTGAGTGGCTGCCCCGTGCACGTGTACACGTTGTGCTCCGTCACGCGGCCGTATGCCATGTTGGTGCTCTGACCCACGGGCATTGCAAAAAGGATGGGATGGGAGGAGGCAGGGGGGGTAGAGAGTCAATGTTTGCTTAGCACAGGGGTGAATAGGACTTTCAAATATCTTTCACGGGCAACCAAAGACAAAGATCCCCATTTAGCCTTAACAGACTGTTGGGACAAGTGCTGTTAGCAAGTAGCACCTGTGAAGGCCGATACACTATGTCCGGCTGCCTTTGTCTTCCCAGTGGCAATGTTTACACATCGCATCAGGTACACATTTACGGTTCCTACAGGAGGCCCAGGACAGATTTAGATAATCGTCACTGGTGTTGGCCATGAGCGGGAATCAAACGTGATTTGCCGGGTTTGTAGCGCAGCGCGCTAACCACTGCACTACCGCTCTCTACTAGGGTGCTGGCCACCCACCCCCTCGTGTGCCATGCCGGCTTTCATAGGTGCTCGCTAACAGCATTTGTTTTTACAGTCTGCTAAGGCTATCATGGGAGATCTTTGCCTCATGGGCAACCGCACACTAACACACACACGCAACACAAACACTTCTGTCAGAAGTGTTTAAGCTAACACACACGCACACACGCACCACAAACACTTCTGTCAGAAGTGTTTAAGCTCACTAAAGTCGAACAGCAGGGGGCCTTCCCTGGTAAAATAAAATAATTTATAGTTTACTGCAATGTTGCTAGGTCAAAAATATTTCCCTTTAGTACCCGATTAGTGCGGCTAATATTCATGCAGCGATGTAATACAGTAAACGCTTCCTGTTTGCGAGTTCTGAATTTGAGAGTTTCGCATATTCGCGAGTGACTAAATGTATACTGCTTCTCTATTCGTGACCTGCCGGACTCCAGTATTCGCGAGTGTAAATAGTGCCAGACCACCGACACTGGGGAGGTGCGTGCAGAATTTTAGATTTGAAACGTTCTGTGAAGATTACGAACGCCCGACCTCAGCTGCCTGCTTTGTCCTGAAGTCTCGCAGTAATCCCACTCTAAACTCACTATTGTGCATCGCAATTGCTTGTTAATTGTCCTTAATCATGGTTCTCAAGCATCCATTGAGAGCGGAACGTGCGTCTGCTGAAAAAAGGCCGAAGAAAGTGATGAGTTTTGGTGAATTTTGCATTCGCAAGCGTTTTCAAGAACGTAACCCTTGCAGGCAGAGAGGGTTTACTGTCTATCATTTGTGGGCATTTCAAAGCGGTAGGCCACACGTGACTGTGGACTACATGAAATGAAGACATGGGCCATATTCGGCCAGCATTCTGAACACAACCCTGGTTTAAAACAAGCTGATCCTGAGTCTGTCTGATAGATCATATTTGAATGTCATATGCACTCGTGTAAAATTATTTAAATAAAATGTATTTAAGTTGGATTACTGTTGCTGACTGGACGTTGTGGGCAGTGACCAAGGATGTCAGTACGGTACGGCATGGGATTTTTCGGTTAAGTACGGTACAATATTAAGATATGATATTTCTTGACTTAAAGCTTTCGTTACTGCAGGAATTCATATTCTTTGGGTCCTTCGGTAAAGTCACGTAGATAGGTTCAAAGAAAATAACAAAAACTACGACGTTTCGATCTCAACACAAGCGGTCGTCATCAGGAAAAGGGGGTTAGCCTCTAAAGGCAAACTGTTTATGAAAGTTTGAAATGGGCGTAGCCCAAGTGTCAGCAGCATGGGCGGGGCAGCTAATGTTAATGCAAGTGATGGGACTCGTAGTGGGAAAAGTCCTTTCGTCATGTGTCAATCACCCAAATAGCTTAGCTGTCACAACCGGGATGGGTTGGGTTAAGAGAAAAGACAAACGTATGATATTGTGTTTTTTATTGGGGACTGGGTGGAGACTATGAACTTGCTACACTTGAGAACCAAGTTCAATGTGTGGATATGAATTGAGCAGCAACTATACATCATTGTCTAAATGGTGAATCCAGCTGCTGGCTTCAGAGTAAAACTAGTGAATCACACTTGTGCCCTCAGAGAATACTCACAGTGGACATGAGTTCACACACAGATTCAGACTCAAGACAGAAATCCACAGACTAATACAGAGACACACAGACTCACACAAAGATCCATTGATTTACAGAGACCCACCCACTGAATCACGCAAAGATCCAAAGATTCACACAGTGACCCATAGACTCGGAGAACAATAGACTCAAACAGAGACCGAGACTAATGCAGAGGAGACATATATACTCATTGGCTCACAGTGGACATGGGTTCACGATGTGTTACACTGATTAATTATTGCTGTGCACCACAGTCAAATTGGGAGATAGTTTTATTTTCCCTTTGTGGAGGTGAATGAACCTGTATCTGCACCTGTGATTGTAACTGCCGTGGTCAGTGCGAATATGATGCGAGGTAACCCGCAATGTGTGATGCAAACCCATTGGTCAGTTGCCTTCCACAAGAGAAAGCGACACAGTGCACAGCCCACGTGCACTCACCTGCAGCATGTTGAGCGCACGCCGCATGTCCCCGTTCGACAGCGTGACGAGCGCGTTCATCCCATCGTCCGTTACGTCCACCCTGCGGCCGCGCGAGCAAGGGGGCACACGTTAGTGCAAAATACGCCCACAGTACAGGACCTGTAACAAAGTGTGAAGACATTTCAAGCAATGCACCAGACCTCCCTTGTATGTGTCAATGACAAGATCAGTAAGATTTTTGTCAATGTATATTTTTTACACCGCAGAGAACACAACTCTTTAAGTGATATTTTAATTCCAGCTAAGTCCAGCGAAACCCAGGTCCCAGCTTCCCCCCACCCCGGGACTCACTGCTCCTCAGCAATAACGTGCAGGAGGCGTGGGACCATGAGGTCGGACGAAAGCGGGCCAAAGCGGAAGCGTGTGCAGCGCGACTGTAGTGCGGGGATGATGCGCGACAGGTAGTTGCATATGAGGCAGAAGCGCGTGTTCTCCGTGAACTTCTCCATCACTGCCGGTGGATGAAAACCAAAGACAAATATACCGCGGTTAGCCTCATCATAGACTGTAGCAGAAATAGCTGTTAGCGAGCACCTATTAAGGTCGGCAGATCAACCCTCAAAACATATTCACGGAAAACCACACACCAATAATGTACTTTTCAAAGTGATATCTAAACCAGTTCTAGGCCTCTCTTAGGTCGACTCAGCCTTGGAAACATTAGTACTGGGGAGAGGAAAGTGGCCAGTGTAGGTGCTGGCCACAACACCCCCTCTTGCATGGTGTTCGAATGTCATAGGTGCTCACTAACATAACTTATCCTCACAGCCTATGGAGGCTACACAGGGGATCTGTGTCTAAAGTAGAGCAGTGATGAGCGCTATGATCCTCACGATCTGGATTTATTACATCGACACGATGGGGTACGTGGAACCTGAGCCTGTCCTGGGTATCCACTAGGTCGACTCAGCCATAAATATCTGGTGTGGTCTTTAAATATCAATAATAGTGAGACGATGTTGTTCAGGTGTGGTTCTGGCCACCCCACTTCATTGTGCCTGATGCAGGTCTAAATAGGTGCTCACGTTCTGCAAGGTTAAACAAAGATTTTTTGTCTGTGTGTGTGCGCGTGCGAGATTCCCATCACCTCGTCGCAGGGCGTTCTGGGCATCCTGAGTCATGGCGTCTGCCTCGTCCAAAATCACCAGCTTGTAGCCCTTCCTGGGACACCACAGCGCCGCATGCTCATCATTGACAAAATTATTTTATAGTAAAAAAAAACCCCATCACGCCTGTGGATGAAATTTGTAACACTTTTCATTATGCGTTTGTCTGAGCAAGTATTTAAGAAATATGATTACTCTCCGAGCCACACAACGAGCGCATGACTTGTGAAATCGCGAAACGATGTCATATTCAGCAACATCATGGCCAGGCATTGCATGCACACATGGCCTGTGACATCATCACTTTGGCTGACAAAGCTTATCCAATTAGCGCTAGTTTGTTATCAAATTTTGGCAAACTCCTTGAAAAATTTGGTTGGTTTTCTATACAAAAAACTACATTTAGATTGCAAAAAGATAAATAAAATTCTCACACATATCCATCTCTCCACATAAAAAAAGTATTTCTTACATAATCTATCAGCCATATGGCTTTCTGGGAGTGCATAATTTCAGCATCAATCTTTCAAAATAAGCAAACCGGTTTCGCAGTCTTGATTAAATGACTGCTGGTAAACTGCTGATCTTTAGGCAAGGACCCTTAGAGTACAGGGCTCCCAGTTTGATGTAACATGAAATGATATAAGTGACATGTAGCGTGCTCATGTATATTTATAGAGATGTCATGCGGCAGGGAATGCATAATCATGTGAGGTGCGTTCATGCATGTTAATAAACGCAGCATATCAAGGCAAGAACTCGGGCGTGGATGGGGTTCATTTACTCATCTTGTGTGAGCTCAGCTCTGTACCACGAGCTCCCTACTAATTAAAGTCTCCAAAGTTATCCGACGGACCCAATGTGTTTTATGCAAGACGTAACATTACACAAAACTCTAAATAATAATATGCGTCATTTTGGAGAATATAAACAAAATATTATAATTCTATTACATTTAGTTTAATCATCTTGAGTTTTTCCTGACAACATGTTACAGATGGACAGACTGCTAAAACATTAAGGGTTTGAACTTTTGTCGGAAAGCATAAAACTCACTACACAAACACAATACCGTTATTGAACTGTGGAACAAAGCTCACTTGAAGATGGTGCGCGTGCTGGCGAAGCTGAGGATGGGGCCTCGCACAACATCGATGCCTCGGTCGTCCGACGCATTCAGCTGCAAGTGGGATCAGGGGTCGAGTGGAAGGATGGTTCCACATTAGCCATAGAATAAGGCCAAGATAGACCAAGGGCCGGGATGATTAGTTGATTCAATCACGGCCAATGGTTGCAATTACGTACCCAAGCTCCACCCTCTCACCTCCTATCCAGCGGCACACATGGAAACAGAGGTGAGACTTTTTCTCTAAATATTTTTGTTACCTGATTAGTCGAGTTATTGAACTGATAATCGGCCAAGTAATCAATGACTAAAATAACTGGATACCCCAGCTCTACATATACCCCACGATGTGATACAATCCCAGGTGGGGAGAAGAGATGATTATGTAGTCAGAAGACAGTGCAAGTCAAACACATTTATTCGATAAGATTTACTCTGTACTATGTTAGTGTTATGACTGCTTTAGTGTATTCTTTTACATTCATGTTCAATCACAAACTGATACTCACACAACATTAGATCCTTAAGAATATAAATTAGTATAGAATTATAATTAGGATGCAGTTGGGCAATTTTCTTACTCCACGAGGTGTCAGGCAAGTACCTTCCAATAAAACAGCATCCTTACAAGAGAAACTAAATTGTGTCAAATTGCATACCACGTTTCAAAGCACCACCCACATGAAGTGAAAATTCCAAAGATCAAAACATCATAAACCATTCTGTGGGCTCACCATCCGCAGGATGAAGGGTGAGGGACAAGTGCGATGGCAGTATGGCAGGGAGAGGGATGGTCTCGGATGGAATGGACATTGGCAATGGACACTCGCTATTTGGACGTGGAATGTCACTTCACTGGGGGGGAAGGAGCCGGAGCTGGTGGAGGAGGTGGTAAGGTATCGCCAAGACATAGTCGGCCTCACCTCCACACACAGTATTGGCACGGGAACAAAACTTCTCGATCGCGGGTGGTCCCTCTCCTATTCCGGAGTAAGCCCTGGTGAGAGGCTTGTGAGTATCACCAGGTGTGGGGAAACTCACAAGCCCTCGGCTGGGTGCTGTTCAGTTGGAGTTTGTCCCAGTGGATGAGAGGGTCGCCTCAATTAAACTCTGACTGCTGTCTGTGCTTATGCACCAAACACCAGTTCAGAGTATTCAGCCTGCTTGGAGCCGGTGGGTGTAGTGCTCGATAGAGTGCCGCCTACCGACTCCATAGTCTTACTGGGCGACTTCAATGCTCACGTGGGAAACGATGGAGATACATGAAGAGGCGTAATTGGGAGGACTGCCCCCCAACTGATCAGAACCCGAACGGTGAGATGTTATTGGAATTCTGCGCTAGTCACGCGATGTCAATAACAAAAACCATGTTCGAACACAAGGATGCTCATGAGTCTACTTGGTACGAGAGCACCTTGGGCCGAAGGTCAATGCTTGCGTTTATAGTGGTATCATCGGACATAAGGCCATATGTTCTGGACACTCGGGTGAATTGAGGGGCAGAGCTGTCAAATGATGACCACCTGGTAGTAATTTGGATACGACGCTTGAGGCACCGACCAGATAGACGTGAAAGGCCCAAATGAATAGTGCGGGTTTTCTGGGAACGTCTGGCGGAAAACCCAGTGCTAAGACTTCAACTTCCCCCTTCGTAAACACTTCGCCTACACTCCAGGGGAGGTTATGGACATCGAATCCGAGAAGACGATGTTGATGCGGCAACCCTAGGACCTATCCTCGGAAAAAGGTCTGCCGACTCAATTGAGAGGTACTGGCTTGCCAAGAGGGTGGCAGCAATAGCAGTCACTGAAGTGAAAGCCCACGCGTGGGAGGAGTTTGAAGAGTCCATGGAGATGGACTACTGGGCAGCCTCAAAGATGTTTTGGCAAACCATCCGACGCCTTCGGAGGGGTCAATGGGACTTGGAGAAGCCATATGACCGTGTTCCCCGGAAAGTCTTGTGGGAGGTGCTGCGGGAGTATGATGTACCGGTACCGCTTTTGTGTGCTATCTGGTCCCTCTATTCCAGGAGTGAGAGCTGTGTCCGTATGGTGCTAAATCAAAGTCGTTCACTGTGGGTGTTGGACTCTGCCAAGGCTGCGTCTTATCTCCACTCCTGCTTGTGATTTTCATGGACAGGATATCAAGGCGCAGCCCAGGTATGGAGATTATCCAGTACGGGGGCATGGAGGTGGTGTCGCTGCGTTTTGCAGATGACGTTGTCCTCTTTGCCTAGTCAGCCTGTGATCTCCAGCATGCACTTGAACAGTTTGATGCCGAGTGGGAAGCGGCTGAGATGAGGATTATCACCTCTAAATCTGAGGTCATGTTTCACTCCCAGGAGATGGTAGAGTGTGCTCTCCAGGTGAGGGGGGAACAGCTGCCCTTAGTGGAGGAGTTTAAGTGCCTCGGGGTCTCTTTCACGAGTGATGGTAAGTGCGAGCGGGAGATCGGCCGGGGGATCAGTGCGGCGTCCACAGTGATGGGGGTGCTGTACCCTTCCGTGGTAGTTGAGTTCTCGAACAAAGCTTTCGGTTTACAGGTTGATCTACGTTCCCACCCTCACCAATGGCCACGAGCTTTGGGTAATGACCGAAAGGATATCGCGGATACAAGGGGCCGAAATGAGGTTTTTCTGCAGGGTTGCCGGGCTTACTCTTTGTGATCAGGTGAAAAGCTCGGTAATCCGGGAGAGCCTCAGAGTCAAGCCGCTGCTCCTCCTGATCGAGAGGAGCCAATTGAGGTGGTTCGGGCATCTGGTAAATTCCACTTGGAACTATACCGGCACGGCCCACTGGGCATAGACCCCGGGGCCAGCCCAGGACACGCTGGCGGGACTATGTCGCTCAGCAGGCCTGGGAACCCCTGACAATCCCCCAGGAAGACCTAGAGCCCGTTGCCAGGGAAAGGGAGGTCTGGACCGCCATTACTCAACATGCTGCCGCCACGACCCTTGGCAGATCAAGCGGATTGAGAAATGAAAGAACGAAAAACATCATCAAGATTCAAGCAATTTGCAATGTTAATGTATTTTTTTAAAATATATATTTGGAATCATATTTTGGCAGGCCCTCCACAGATAGAGAATTTGTTGAATGTGTCAAAGCAGCCATAAAGCATAATCTACAAGTTGATCAAAAAAGCTTCAATGGACTTGGATATGCCTCATAGCACTGCTTACAAAATCGGACACAAACATTTACTGACCTAGCTCAAATCGCTGCCTGATTATTATTCCCTTGAGGGTAAGTAAAAGAATATAATTTTACCAAGTTTTTATAGTAAAAATGTAATTGCTGCCCAAAGTATAATTTTATTGACCTAGCTTTAACTGCTACCTTCTTTAGTAATGGATGATACACTTATGAACATCCTGGATATTCAAATGACAATTAAAAGGGAAAAATTGGTCATCGTTAATGTGATGTTAACCCCATGCTTTCAACTTCATGCATGCCATTTGCTTCAGCGTCATAATTTACAGAGGCAGGCCACTGTGTCAGTATCGTGACTTGAAATTCATGACTGCGGTGATGATTTTGGTAGTATTATTGACATTGGTGGTAGTAGTAAATGGTGGTTATTGTGGTGATGATGGTGGGGATGATGACCACGATGGTGGCAATTCCCATGGTACGACAGCCATAACAGTTATGACGATAAAAGAGATTAGAATCGTGATAATGGTAATGATGGTATTCATGGTACATGTACAGCCCTTGGTCAAACCACTACTGAACTAAAGCCTCCCTACACCCCCATGCTTCACCATGTTGGTCAGTGTCAATTGGTGAAGGTGGGGACCATAAATGTGCGCTGCCCATCATGCCATCATGAGGTCTGGAGGACGATGTACGCACCTCAAGCACCATTGAGGCAGCCTCTTTCTCCCCGTACAGTTGCCGTGCGCATGCCAGGATGGTGGACGTCTTGCCGGTGCCCGGGGGGCCATAGAACAGCAAGTGGGGCAATCGGTCCTCACTGATGAACTTCTGGACTGCTCACATACAAGCATGCACACCAGAAGTGGAACAATTATCACCAGAGTCAAATGGTTTTCTTGCTCAAACAAGCAATGGCGCTGCCCTCATCTCAGTTGGCAGCCTTGAGTCAGTGTTGGATAACAGTTAGTGGTGATGAGTGTAGCACAACATCGCCACCCTGTGTGGCTTTTTCTCCTGCGAGGTAACTCACTCGTAGTCAGAATATCCTTGTGTGAGATGAGCTCGTCAAGAACTCTTGGTCGATACTTTTCCACCCTTTTACAATAAAAAAGACAAACACAAACGCCGGAAAGTTAGTGAACATTAATTCACAGTTCTTTGTCAATCCACTGCTGGATTACGGCCCCCTCATGTCATGTTGGTCACCGAGATATTTTGAATGTAATTCACTAATGCTGCTCAGTGTGGATAGAAATGTCCTCTTTATATACCATTAATTTGGTGTTTAGCATGGTTTAATAAAGTCGAAGTTCGAAATGTTGACCGAAAAACACTAAATTCCTTCCTCCATGGGATTGCCTGACCATATTTCACCATCTTAAGTTTGTTTTAAATGTTACACAGATTATCCTATATTCTTGGTTCTTTCGGTAAAGTCACGTAGAAGGGAAACAATAAAATAATAAAAATATAAAACAATTAAATTATCACGACGTTTCGACTGCAACACAAGCAATCATCATCAGGTGTGAAAACCACAGCAAGAATTTTTTTTAAAAGTGGCGTTTTTTTTAACGTTAGCACCACGGAGAGCGATTTGGCAGTTATTCAGGTGGACGAGTCCATCTATGTTCGGAAAAGAGAAGGGGGGAGACGAAAATAATGGATGCGGTCTGAAAGCCACCGTAAGCGTGAACAATCAATTAAGACCCGAAATGGTTTATCAAATCCTTCCAATGATTGCTAAGCCAGAATCCATCTTCTCGGTTGAAATTGTCTCTGTGTTTGTATATGTGGATAGCCTCATGAACGAATCTCTCATGGTAGCCAGATGGCTTGCAAAGAACCTTTGTCTTGGAGAAGTCAATGTCATGTGAGCCCACTGAATTATAACAGTGATCTGCCACGGCCGAGGTGTTGGTCCTACCGTGTTTTAGGTCTGCTTGGTTTCTCCAATGTAACTACTACCACAGAGGCAACTTAGTTTGTAGACACCAGGGTACTGTATGTCCGAAATCACATCTTTTACAGGCGGAACCAGATCACGGATTTTATGTAATGTGTTGAATCGGACCTGGATCTTGTGTTTATTCAAGATTTTGGAGATCTTTTTTGCGATCCCCGCAATGTAGGGTAAAGTGATGGTTTTGAAAGGCTCCTCAAGAGGGTCCTTCTTCATGGTTGGAGTGATAGCTTTGCGGATTGTGTAGTCGGACTAACCATTAGCCTTAAGAGCTTGGTGTATGTGCTTGAGTTCACTGGCTATGTGTTCCTGGTCGGATATGCATTGGGCTCTATGGTGCAGAGTCTTGATGAGGGAATTCTTCTGCGATGGATGGTGGTGGGAATCCGGTTTCAGGTAAGCATCCGTATGGGTAGCTTTCCTGTAGACAGAGTGGCTCATTGAACCATCAGGTCTCTTTTTTATTAGGACATTCTGGCTTAGCAATCATTAGAAGGATTTGATAAACCATTTCGGGTCTTAATTGATTGTTCACGCTTACGGTGGCTTTCAGACCGCATCCATTATTTTCGTCTCCCCCCTCCTCTTTTCCGAACATAGATGGACTCGTCCACCTGAATAACTGCCAAATTGCTTGCTGTGGTGCTAACGTAAAAAAAAAACGCCACTTTTTTTCAAATTTTCTTGCTGTGGTTTTCACACCTGATGATGATTACTTGTGTTGCAGTCGAAACGTCGTGATAATTTTATTGTTTTATATTTTTATTATTTTATTGTTTCCTTTCTACGTGACTTTACCGAAAGAACCAAGAATATGAATCCCTGCAGTCACGAAAGCTTTAAAACAAATGATCCTGTTTATAGCTAGTTGCCTGGCTCTTTTACAAGGAAGATCCGTGGTGCGTGAGCACAGAAAAAAACACATCAACCATAAGAAGTTTTTTTTGGGTTAGATCGAGATCTAACTCCAAAAAACCTCTATGGAAAAACATCAACATTGCAGAGAATTAGTACAGGATCCTTTAAGGAATGTTGCACAACAAATGACATATTTAATGGTCATCAACGAAACACATGCCAATAAAAAAAAAACTCTGAAAATGAGGTGATAGAAAAAGTTAGGTACAGGTATGCTCTGTGTTTTGGTTGAATAGGGTAGTAAGTGAAGGAAATGAGCAGCAAGGGTATTCCAGAGACGTGGAGCAGCAAACTTATTTTTACCAGAGTTTGAACAAATGGTCAGTACGGCTTGTGAAGGTAGCAGAAGGGGAGAGAATTCCCAGACTGGTTCAGGTACCAATCACCACAAATGTTATGTTCAAAGTACAGTGTGTTAACCACTACACCACTGTTTCCGGGATCAATATCAGCAGTTAAATTACAAAATATACCTTCAGGCGACTGACTACATAATGGCAATAAAATGCACCCATTTTTCACAAGTACAGCCTGCAGCATTATTATGGCAGTAAAAAAAAAAATGCTGGGTGGAACGCTGATTCAGCGTTTTAAATTATCATGGTTACCAAAGTAATACACTATACTCTTCATATACCTTCAGGCGACTGACTACATAATGGCAATATAATGCACCCATTTTTCACAAGTACAGCCTGCAGCATTATTATGACAGTAAAAAAATAAATGCTGGGTGGAACGCTGGTTCAGCGTTTTAAATTATCATGGTTACCAAAGTAATACATTATAATCTTCATTTGAAGCTTTCGTGACTGCAGGAATCCATACTCTTTGGTTCTTCCGGTAATACATTATACATGGTCAATCTGGGCTGAGTGGTTGATGCACATTCTAATGATATTCTAGAAAGGATACATGTGAAATGTGGCACAAACTGCATACATTAGGTCCCCAACATCTATGGTTCAGAAGTTGATTGCTTTCAATCTTTGTGCTATGCCGAACCACTGCACTAAACGCCGCCGATTACTGTATAATGTTGTCTTTTTAAGGCAGCGTTAATAACGAATTTGTTGAGGTTTTTTTGTTATGAAACGTATGATAAAGAAATCCCATCATTAGTGAGCCAAGTAATTATTCTCCCGTGGAGTGTGATTCTAAAAACTAAAAAGCGGACAGCCTGCTACTGGTTAGTAGCACGGTATTAGCTGGCTGCTGTTGGCTGCTAATGGGGCATAATTTAAAGGCAATCGGCTCAATTTCTGTTGTTTAAAAATAAAATATATATTACGGTTGAATACAGTACATCAATCATGAGCCTTAAGAAGCAATATTAATCGATGAACAATTACCCCTTCCACGTTCAGTGAGTGAGACAAGGTGGATGGGAAAGGTGAGTTTGCTGCAAGGGGGCTGGCAGTGGCTCTTTAGACAAAAACGTGCGGTAAAATTCATATTTTAACACGTAGACTTTCGCGACCAATATTATTAATAAGAGGTTTTGGGGTTAGATCGCGTGAACATACATGTGTTGTTTAACTCCCCATCACCCGATACAGCCAATTAGTAAGGCTTTTCACGTAAACAAAACATGCCAATTCGTTACTAGTTCAGCACACCAGTGTTGGAGAGTAAAACCCACATTTACAAGCGACGATATCACATGTATCCCTCTATTTAAGACCGAAGCAGGAGGATTTATCCACAACTCTGGCTGTCTGCCTGATGATGCTAGTTGTAATTACTGGCGAAACGTCATACTGTACTCGAATTTTAAATGTTGTGGGTTTTACTCTCCAACACACCAGTGTGCTGAACTAATAACGAATTGACATGTTTTGTTTACGTGACAAACCTTAATAATTAGCTGTGTCGGGTGATGGCGGGTTTAACGACACATTTTTATTTACGTGATCAAACTCAAAAACTTCTATTCTGGAACATGTTTATTGTCAAAGAAAACAATCAAGAGTTGCTGTTGCGTAAATAATTTTACATTTTAAGTTAGTGTCCCAGACATGGCCAATGAACAGAAGAGCATTGTCTCCTCGATGGCAATGTGCCTGATAGTGCTCATCTGTTCGCAGCACTGAGCCCGTGGTGGAAATTCCACATTCCTACGACGGAGGGGAAACTCGTACAAGGGCAACTGCTGTAAATGTCTCATAATGTAGTACAAGACAATACAGTACACATTTTATCCACTACACAGGGATAATGGTCGGAGGTTTAAATTGCAACTGTGCCTGGAGTTTTAATTGCAACTGTTGCCCACAGCGCCACCTAGCCGCAGGGTTCCAGAGCTGAACATCAACACAAACATGAGCTGTACGCCTTTTGGCGTCATCTGGTCGAGCACCAATTGGGTCGAGGCTCAAAAGAAAGCCGTCCCTTGGTGTGGACCAATCAGTTTCAAGGACAATGCATATATTATCATAGTATGTTTTTTGTTTGCATTTTGACTGCAGGTATTGTGGTTAATGCAGACATGAATCCTTGTAAAAAGGTTTCAGTTTTGTTGCCAGAAAAAAGGGGAAACACGCTATTATTACAAACATGATCGTTAACAAAAAAAATCCCAAAGCATTTTAAGTTGTTTGGAAGCGGTTTTTGTAGAAACTTTATTGAAGTCAAATGAGGCACAATGAGCTCTAATGTTAAACACGACTTCGCATTGCGCAGTCACATTGGAGTTCAGCAAGGGGGCAAACGAGTGATAGAAACACGAATGCCAATTGACTAACATGGGCATGTTTTCCCCATGTTATTAGCCTGTGGGCATTCGTATTTTTGTCATCAGTCTCCTCAGTGAGGCCGATAAAATACGAATCTTAACCAATGAAACAACGTTGCATGGAATATAATGTACAATAAGTCAAAGACGCGGTCCTGGAATTACTCGCTCACACCATTGCCAGTGGGAGCCCCTCTCGAGGTAATTTTGGCCTACTCTTCCACGCTGCCTATACGCAGTCGAAGAAGCCGAAGTACCCACATTTTACCCCACCGCACGCGACCTGTCGATCTTAAGACTGTGGTGAACAACATTGACACTAAATTTTGATTTAAAGCTTTCGTGACTGCAGTAATTCATATTCTTAGTTTTTTCGGTAAAGTCACGTTGAAGAGAAACAACAAAATAAATATAAAACAATAAAAAATTCTCACGACGTTTCGACCATAACTCACACGGTCATCATCAGGTGTGACACTGCTGCTGCTGAGTGGACACAGAGACAGCGGGTGGGGGGCGGGGTGAAGAAAGTTGCATCATGTAAATATGAAGCACCAATATGACGAAGCATACTCTAGCCATGCTGTAACGATGCACGCGTGTTGGGCTGTATTGGAGCTCCCATCGCTCGCTCACTCGCTCGCTCTCACCAGGGGAGGTTGCGCGGAGCCCGCTCGCCCATTGCGACCCTGCTTGTTGCTCCGTGCGCGGGCCTCACACTTGATTCCCTAGTGCACTTTGTCACACGCGCGATACCATTGGTCGTCTACTCCGCTGCGTGCGCGCTCAGAGCCAATCAGAGCGACGTAAATGGCGAGCGTCCGCCGATCCGCTGTAGGGAATCTGACGGGGCCGCTCGTCGCGTCACCGTTTTTTGGCGGGAAATGATCGTGTGGCGCGCGAGGACGGTGACCGCTGGCTGCTGTTACGGCGCACAAGCACAGACAACAACACCTCAACAACAACACGCCTCAGCAATACGCCTTTTAAACTAATATATTTCAATGAGTGGCAGCGAACACTGCCTGAGAGCGGCGGTGACGCGAGTTCACCGCTTGTTGCGGAGGTTCGCGGTCGGATCCGGCGGTCGCCCTGATTAATACTCCGGTTGTATTCACCGTAATACTACTACTACCGTAATAATACTGTATCGTGATACTACTGTATCGTGATACTACTACACTATAATACTACCGTAATAATATTATACCGCAATACTACTACCGTAATACGATACTGAAAATGCTACCTTACTACTACGACACTGTAATAATACTATCGTAATAATACTACGACGCGCCGTCTGCTGCACTCGCAGTGGACGTTAAAGATCCACGTGGGATCGTAACGCGCATGTGTCCACACTTTTCCTGATGACGACCGCTTGTGTTGCGATCGAAACGTAGTTTTTGTTATTTCCTTTGAACTTATCTACGTGACTACCGAAAGACTTAAAGATTATGTCCACATTGTCAAGGCACTCGTGGTAGCACAGCGCCGCCTGGCGTTGTAGCGGGTGAGTGGCGTCTGCTCGCGGCGGGAGTTGAAGATTGATTGCACGAGACTAAGATGTAATCCGGCGCTGCAGTGGTCAAGGTGCTCCATTAGTTCCCTGCGTGGACGTCGTAACGTTAAACTTGTGTCATAATAAAGGTTTTTGAATGATATCGCGTAAGTATAAATGTGTCGTAACCCTCCACCACCCGACAGCCAGCAAGGCTTGTAACATAAACAACGCGCCAATTCATATTCTTAGTTCTTTTGGTAAAGTCACGTTGAAGGGAAACAATAAAATAATAAAATATATATAAAAAACAATATAAATATATAAGCAACATTTTTTTTATTGTTTCCCTTCAACGTGACTTTACCGAAAGAACTAAGAATATGAATTACTGCAGTCACGAAAGCTTTAAATCAAAATTTAACGCGCCAATTATTTACTACTTAAGCCCACCGGTGTATTGGAGAGTAAATCCACAACACTTACAATTTAAATACGACGTTTCGCTGGTAATTACATCCAGCATCGTCAGGCGATTTGCCCACACAGCTTAATAGATGCGTTTCATGCTTAACAGCTTTCAGGACACAATAGCGCACCTTAGCTGTTGCACTTGCCCCTTTTCTTTTTTCCTCTCTGCCTGTGTTCCCAGCCCCCTCCCTCCTCTCCGTAGGTGATGCTGGTAACATGCAAATTCATATTTTAACTCCGCCCACACAGCTTAATAGACGCGGTCCTTGCATGACAGCGTTCATTCAAGCTCTGTCTTCCGGACAGACCTGTCTCTTCACCTGAAGAAGGCCACTTGTATTGTGGCCGAAACGTCGTGAGAATTTTATTGTCTTATTTTATTATTTTATTCCCATTCTACGTGACTTTACCGAAAGAACCAAGAAGATGAATATATGCATTGTCCTTGAAACTGATTGGCCCACACCAAGGGACGGCTTTCTTTTGAGCCTCGACCCAATTGGTGCTCGACCAGATGACGCCAAAAGGCGTACAGCTCAAAGACAATCAAAGTAATGAGGGCTTGGGGTGAGCATCTACATTACACCTCCTTTGCCAGTACCAAATATAAAAAGGGGAAAAACCCTATTATTAAAAAGGGGAAAACCCCTATTATATTTTGGTACTAAAGGAAGCTGTCTCTGGTGTGGACCAATCAATTTCAAGGACAATGCACACATTATCAGTGTTTTTGTTTGCATTCTGACCGCAGGTATTGTGGTTAATGTGACATGATTCCTTGTAAAAAGGTTTCAGTTTTGTTGCCAGAAAAATGGGTAAAACACCTATTATTATGTTTTAATAACCTAATCGCTTTCAGTAGTATTGCTGTTCGATCTTGGTATGGGATTCAATGCTCTGTTAATTTGAACATTATTGTAGCCATTTAATCGTTTCGCTCCTTTAACATGTTTAATCTCTCTCCTCAGACTTTCACCATCTGACACTTTTAGCCCGATGTTTGAGCGTCTTAATGAGAGAGGATTTCTGTGCGGGGTGATGATGCGAATTGCATCAGTGTGCGTTTCCTTTCGGTAAACGCCGTGTCTTATTTGACCATTTAGGCCACGTCCGAGCAAAATATCCAGGAATTCGAGTATGTTATTCACCTCCATTTCCATGGTGAACTGGTGGGCTGGGTTTTGTGAATTTAGATGCTTTATAAATGCATTAAGGGTATCTTTACCATGTGGTCAGACAACCAAAGTGTCACCCCCATATCTAAGCCAAAAAGATGGTTTTAATGTACTTGTAGCAAGTGCTCTTGCTTCAAAGTGTTCCATTTGTAGTGAGTTCAACTGAGTCGGAGACATACTCTTTGGAGGCAACACATTTATTGATGGCCAACACAAAGAGGTAACTGCCCCTTTACCAGATAACAACCTAAGGTGGTGGACCACCAGGCTAACGACACTAATTACACTGGGAGGAGCTAAAACAGGACAGGACCCCAGCTTGGGTCCAGGTCCATATCTTGGTGACTCTTCTCGGATGTAGAACGTACAGTGAGGGAAAAGAGTATTTGATCCCCTGCTGATTTTGTACGTTTGCGCACTGACTTAGAAATGATCAGTCTTTAATTTTAATGGTAGGTTTATTTGAACAGTGAGAGACAGAATAACAACAAAAAAATCCAGAAAAACGCATGTCAAAAATGTTATAAATTGATTTGCATTTTAATGAGGGAAATAAGTATTTGACCCCCTCTGAATCAGAAAGATTTCTGGCTCCCAGGTGTCTTTTATACAGGTAACGAGCTGCGATTAGGAGCACAGTCTTAAAGGGAGTGATTAAAGGGAGTGCTGATCATGAGAACGGTGAGGAATCAGCCTAGAACTACACGGGAGGATCTTGTCAACGATCTCAAGGCACCTGGGGCCATAGTCACCAAGAAAACAATTGGTAACACACTACGCCGTGAAGGACTGAAATCCTGCAGCGCCTGCAAGGTCCCCCTGCTCAAGAAAGCACATACATGCCCGTTTGAAGTATGCCAATGAATATCTGAATGATTCAGAGGACAACTGGGTGAAAGTGTTGTGGTCAGATGAGACCAAAATGGAGCTCTTTGGCATGAACTCAACTCGCCGTGTTTGGAGGAGGAGGAATGCTGCCTATGACCCCAAGAACACCATCCCCACTGTCAAACATGGAGGTGGAAACATTATGCTTTGGGGGTGCTTTTCTGCTAAGGGGACAGGACAACTTCACTGCATCAAAGGGACGATGGACGGGGCCATGTACCATCAAATCTTGGGTGAGAACCTCCTTCCTTCAGCCAGGGCATTGAAAATGGGTCGTGGATGGGTATTCCAGCATGACAATGACCCAAAACACACGGCCAAGGCAACAAAGGAGTGGCTCAAGAAGAAGCACATTAAGGTCCTGGAGTGGCCTAGCCAGTCTCCAGACCTTAATCCCATAGAAAATCTGTGGAGGGAGCTGAAGGTTCGAGTTGCCAAACGTCAGCCTCGAAACCTTAATGACTTGGAGAAGATCTGCAAAGAGGAGTGGGACAAAATCCCTCCTGAGATGTGTGCAAACCTGGTGGCCAACTACAAGAAACGTCTGACCTCTGTGATTGCCAACAAGGGTTTTGCCATCAAGCACTAAGTCATGTTTTGCAGAGGGGTCAAATACTTATTTCCCTCATTAAAATGCAAATCAATTTATAACATTTTTGACATGCGTTTTTCTGGATTTTGTTGTTATTCTGTCTCTCACTGTTCAAATAAACCTACCATTAAAATTATAGACTAATCATTTTTTTGTCAGTGGGCGAACGTACAAAATCAGCAGGGGAACAAATACTTTTTCCCCTCACTGTAGATTCTTCAGGATAACCACGGCAGCCGGTCCCTCTGGGGGACCCGGCTTATATCCTCTGTGGCGGGGCTGGCACCGCCCTTAGCCACGACCACCTTCAAGAACCCTCGAGCAAGATCTCGGCCCTGACACATGACTACCCCTAGTCCCCACCTGGGGGCCCTGTGTAGACTTTACTGGTCACGTGTCCTTCAGGGTCAACCAGAATGACATGGCCCTTTGTAACCCCATTCCCATGGCCGGCACTCTCACACCCTATCCTGTAGGGGTCGGCACTGCACGCAGAGCGTGGTGCCATCCAGCACTGCCAGTCAGCGCTCACCGAGCCCCTCTATAGGGCCGGTACTGCACCCACATTCTCGAGGTGCCCGCGATGTCAATACATCGCACGCCGTGCCTTTCTTGGGCTGGCATTACAGTGACATCCATGATGTCATTCCACATGTATAGCAGGAGACACAGGAGAGCCTATTGCTGCTCCTTTTTGTTTAAATAAATCACCCCTCAATTTAGACAATGGTCAGCTAGTTTTGGAATATCTTTTGGTAAACCTGTTTTTGTTTACTAGCGTATCGAGTAATTAAATGTAAACAACCCAACACGCTGCCGTTCATTATTTATTAACTGACATCCAGACACGGCGGATACTTGAATCGTGGGTTGGCCGCCCAGATTGTTGAATACCGAACTGCGCTCTACCGTGTTTACCCATTCCCAAGTCGACACTGAACGTCGTGACAACATTGGGACAAAGTTGATCTAACGGTTCCAACAACATGCCAACGTTAGGCCAACGTAAGCATGTTTACTTGGTCAGGCCAATCTTTCATTAACATATTACGTCGTTGCTGACTCATGACTGTGTTTGCTCGCGATCAACGTTTCTGATGTGTTTAGGCTCGTACCACAGGCATGTACCTGGTACAGTATACATGTGCGAGTTCAGGAGTTGATAGGGGAACTTTATTCGCACGACCGCCTGTGCCTGGCAAAGGTAAATGGCCTCGGAATGCGTGCGTGGCTTCGTTTTATGATCTTACTGCACAATGTTGTCATTGTGTGCCCATCAATAAACCCGATACAGCTTCAACGCTCAACAGTAAATGGTGCGTTAAGTTAACGGAAACATACATCGGTGGTGTATCACCTGCATTCATTTGTTGTTGAGTTGTTACTCAAAACATTCACTTATTGGTCGTGCATTGTACGTTAACGTGTGTAACCGGGGTCCCTTTGTCTCACGCCAAGATTACAGGGTCGAGGAATAAATTAGAAGCTTTGAGATTTTGGTAGTCGACTGAGTTATCTTCTGCGCCTCTGTTCGTCACTTTGTAGACTAAGCCGTTCCCTTAAGTCTTCATCTCGCCACGATCTCACGCATCACATCAGCCAACAAGTGTGGGGTATTCCCACCTCTTCCAAGACGCCTGGCCAGCGTGGAAGAGTAGACCAAATACCTTCTTGGTGGGGCTCTGGAGGGTTCCCTCGAGTGGAGACCCTTCTTCCAGCAGTGGCGAGAGCAGGCGATTGCAAGGCTGGGCCGATACCTTAAATACCAAATGCCATCACGGGATCTACATTTCAAGAAATTGGCTCTCGGAGCCTCAGGTAATTACAGTGATAACTTTAAGTATCCATCCAAAGGCTCTTTTACAAGGGGGCGGGGGTCCGTGGTGGGTGAGCACAGAAACAACATGCAAAAGACAAAAAACGTCAGTATTGCAGAGAACGAGTACAGGATCATTAAGGAACATTGCACAACTAACATGCGAGTTTTGTAAACAAAATACACGCAAATTAAAAAAAAACCA